CTGCGTATTCGTGTGCAAGGGATCAGTAGCGGCAAGTGTGCTCCAGCATGCAAATGTGTGAGTCTACGCCGGCGTCTGCTGGTGTGTGGGCGGTATACACGACTGCGTGCCTGTGGGTGTAAGCGTGTCATGGAAGGCTGCACGGGCCCGTGGCCTGGATACACGAAAGTGGGCAAACTTGTGAGTAGCTGCAAGGCTGCACTGGTGTGCGACACGTATACACAACGGTTAACTCTTCATTCTCCAACTTTCGATGTTGCCGCATTCTCTCTTCAGTACTGGTAAAAACAAAGCGCTGTGGTGGAAGCCCATGGTCTCGCCCCGCCCTGGGCCCCGTGCACCATTCGCTCACCAGACAGCAGCCCCCCACCCGCGGGCGAATCTCTCGAGGTGCCAGGCAGGCAGCTGGCCCAGCTGGGCTGAGTTTGCTGGTCGGCCCAGCTGGTGGCCCAGCTGAGGAAGCTCGCTGGGAAAGGAGGAGGCCCGTGTGTGTGTGTGTGTGTGTGTGTCACAGGGAGGGGGTGGGAGACACCAAGACACACACACACAGAACGCCGTTGTCTCTGCAAGAGGAAAGAATGAATTGGCCGGGCTAGAGGCGGCAGCGAGTCAAAAACCTCCTTCCGAAAGGCCAAAGACAAGACTCCCCCCCCCACACACCCCCGCCGCATCCCTTCGAGCGACCCTGTCGCCTTTGTGCCGCTAGCCAGGCTGACACAAGGGCGTCTGTCCAGGCACAATGTCCCCCACACAAGGATGAAACAGAGCCCTCGCTTCAGCCAGCCGCCGGGCCCTTTCGTTCCTCCTCGCACCCCGGGGATGACGTGCCACTCCCCAGCCCCACACGGTGGGGGCCTCTTCTCCGGGGCCTCCTTCCAGTCAGTCGCTGTAGGAACGGAGCCGCGGCCACGCATGCCGCTCCCCCGTGTCGCTGTACCGGGGCCTGGCGCTGGCCTCCTCCCCGAGCTGGAAGTGGCGGGTTTGAATGAAGCCAGATCCCCGGGCGCATTCTTGTGGGTTTCCCCCCTCCCCGCCTTTGGCACGAAGGAAGGATTCAAAAGGAAGCCAGGCCTGGCAGCCGTGCGGGGAGGAGGGGGTGGGGAGATGAAAGAGGGACTCGCTCCAGCTTTCCCACACTCCGCCAGGCGCTGCAAAGCTGGGAATCATTCCCAGCCGCACCTGGAGGAGGCAGCCCGGGCTGACAGGGCCGGGGAGGAAACCGGGGCTATTTATAAACGGATGGGAACAGCTCCTGGTGCAGCGGCAGGCCCCCGGCCCAGCCGTCGACGGAGTCGCCCCATCGCCAATGCCCGACAGGCCGGAGCCAGTTGGTGGGACAGCCGCCCTGTCCCCATTACAACAGGCCCTGTCGCCGCGCCAGCTACCGCCTCCCGTCCGCGGCCCCCAGCGCCAGCCATGGCCAGGACAGCTGCCTCACGCCACGGCCAGTTGCCGAGACAACCCCCTAGCCCATCGGCACCACTCTCCGGACGGCCGCCCGGGCGCACACGCTGGAGCTCGTCCCTGTGCCAGCCCGAATGCACCCTGCCACAGAGCCCAGCAGGGAGACGGCTGCCCCGTCCCTTATGCGCCACGCCAAGACGCCTGCCTCGTCCCCGATTGCGCCCCGCACTGGGGCAGATCACGGGAAGGGAGGAATTTTCCATTGGGAGCAGTGGACTCATGAAGCTTCCGCCCCACTCAGAGCAGCGGCTTTAGAGCTCTGTCCTGGGCACTGCCCTTCTCACTGGCAGGGGAGAAGAAACCACCTGCGTGAATGAAAGAGACGAGTTGAGGCCTTTTCCCGCTGTTCTCCCATTTTCCTCTCCCGGCTCGCCCATTGAGTGACAGCAGAAAGCTCAGAGCTCTGCAATGATTCATGCCCCCCGCACATGTCTAATGGCACAACTCTCCCCAGCCACATGCCGAGGACACACAAATATCCCGGTGGCCCCAACAACAGAGATCAGCTTGGTGTATAGAGCTCAGAGGGAGGGAAACTCTCTTTAGCGTGAAGTAAAGTGAAAGTCCCATGTTAATTTCACTCATCCCAGTCTGCAAATAGTCATTCTGAGTATAATGAACCTCTGCTGAGAGTGACCTCATGTAATGGAACAAAACTTCGCAGTAACAATAATAATACCTAGCTCGTCTATATTAATTTTCAAGTGCCCATCACTATAAACGGCTTTCACTGTATTTGTGTATGTGTATGTATCATACATGCCATAGATGCATAAATGACACAGACACACTCATTTAATAAATGAAGCCACATTATACCTGTGCAACACTCCGTTTAAATTTCCCCTCATTTATACTTTGTTCAAAATTATTCGCCAGATAATTTCTCTGGCTGTTTCTTGGTCTACAGAATGATCCTGCTCCACAGACTGCTTGTGAGCAGTGTTTTAAAACGGACTTTGATTGGGAACAAGTCACATGGTCTGTTTCCAACCCCTGATTGGATAAGTATAATTTAGAATCAGATTTTTGATGCTGATACGTGCACTTATAAGGTCAGAATTCATTTCCCCGAACATTCAGTAACCATCACTTAGTCTTTGCTGTTTCCATGAACATTCCTGCCAGTAAATTTGTTGAGTAGAATACTTATGGAAAGTGACCGCAAAAGGGGAACAAGCAGAGCTGAGACAAATTCCAGGTTTATTGGTGTGACTTTTCACAGTACACACCCAAAATGGTCCAGGGCCCTATGCTACCAACAACTGGATTTAAAAAGAATTGTAGCTAACACAGGTCAGCTCCCAGGGCTGCTCCAGAACTGTAAAAATGGAACTCACAGGGGCTGAATGATGGGTTCGTTTTTGTAGAAAAGGATCAGCAAGGAGAGATTGTCAGGAGAGAGAGAAAACCAATAGAAGAATGCGCTGGGCTGAGGGAGGGAAAGCACCATTGTGGGGCAGGATTGTTCCAAGCACTTTACTGATTTTCTTTTTGAACTTAAACTGCGCCCATCAAGTGATGTCCTTCATTCAGGAATCTGAAAACAATTGTGCCATTCTCTGGCATTCTGGAGACTCACTAGGTCCCCCTGGTGGCCACTGTTGTAATTTCCCAACTTCCAAAATCAACCCTTAGAAATGTCAGTGATTTGAAAGAACGCTGCAATCCCCAGACCGAAGCCAGGCCCCAAGTGATAAACCTTGTACTCGAGTTATGAATAAAACTCCCAGGAACAAAAAATCTCCGACCGGGTCCCTCACTGGGTTGCAGTTGAATTAAACAGACAAATAAACTTCTAAAAAGGCAAATCTCTGGTCGCCTGGAGGAGGTCAGTTGGGTTTGCTCTGGGAGAGATTATCTGAGCTCTGCCGAGTTTGGGACGCGAGTATCAATCTGGTTTCTGGCCAAAGGCCTCCTGCCTAAAAGGATTTTTCCTATGCGTTACTCTTCATCTCAGACAGTGGCATGTACCATCCGCCAGCCTTGGAAAAGGCAGACCACTCAGTCTGACTTTAGGGTAGTGCTGGTTTATCATAGAATATCAGGGTTGGAAGGGACCTCAGGAGGTATCTAGTCCAACCCCTTGCTCAAAGCAGGACCAATCCCCAGGCATATTTTTACCCCAGTTCCCTAAATGGCCCCCTCAAGGATTAAACTCACAACCCTGGCTTTAGCAGGCCAATGCTCAAACCACTGAGCGATCCCTCCCACCTAGTATAAAGTGCCCACCTACGCTAAGGCATTACAGACCCATGCCTAGGGCCCCACAGTGCCTTAATCCAGCACAGCTTTAGAGACATTCCCTACTGCATTGAGCTCCATATAAGAGCAGCATGCCCGGGCCGTGATCATGACATAGCTTCAGCCAGCACGCTGGCACTCCGCCCGGCTTCCAAGCAATGCCCTGAAGCAAAGGGGAGAGGACAGAAAAACCCCATGTTTGATTTCAGTCCGGCCGCTAAAGGGTTATTATCTAACGGTGTGGACGCCAGGCTGCACACATCTACACCCCTGAGTCGTGGTCAGCCTGATGCCATCTAAACCGACTGTTCACACACGATCGCCCCGCCCCCAGGACGGGACTGAGCGGGGTAGAAGCGTCCCAGGTTTGTCCACCCCACTGGCTCTCTCCCAAGGGCACGACCGAGGAAGCCGGTTAGAGGATGGTGGTAAATCCTCCCTCGGGGATGGACTCACCCCTGAGCCGAGTCTTGGCAGAGCGGGAGAAACTGGTTTCCTGCGTCAGCTGCACCAAGCAGTCCCGCACATGCTCTGTGGTGACCTGGCCCCCTCCCGCACTCCCTCCCCCCCAGCCCAGGCTGCCTGGATCCTGGCAGCAGCCCTGCTCGTGCTGAAAGCTGGTGCCCGCGGCCTGGTGGCCTTTCCCCGCTATTCCGACCGGTTGCGTTAGAGACTGCCGCAATGCACCTACTCCCCTCCCCGCATTTGCTGCCCAGAGGGACGTAAAGCGGGTTTGAGGACATGCCCCTGCCATGTGATAGCACAGCGCACCTGGTGTCACCCACGCTCCCGCTGTGGCTCTCTGCCCCCTCCGGGGCTGTACCCCACACACAGGTGTGGGGCTTTGCTACTGGCAATGAGCGAACAAAGGGGGACCCGTTCGTTCAGGCCCGTAGAGGGCTGCACTTTTAGATCAGATGTCCTACAGTTGACAGCTCGCCTAAGGGCATGGTGTTACACCGGCAAGCAGCTGTCGAGCAGAACCACAGGTCACTGGGTGCTTGTGAAGACAGAAGTTCCATTACGTACCTGGTGAGCTCCGCGGGGCAGGGCCCACCTTGTCATTCAGTGTTTGCACCGCACCTAGCGCAAGGGGGTCCTGGGCCATGAGGTGCTACAGGGATACAAAGAATAAACAGGTTACCTGTCACTCTACCTTGGTTTTATGCACCGCCTCTCACAGGAGGATCTCAAAGTGCTTTACGAGCATCACATCTATGCCCCCAGCCCACCTGGGGGTAGGTAAATATTCCCCTCAGTTTGCCTGTATGTTAAA